ACATACCCTGGCGCTCACATGCAGACAGGCTCACCAGGGTCTCTCTCTCCGGTTTCACTTTGTCCACCGCAGTGAAAATGAGTGTTTCCGCTCCCTGGCTCAGAGGAAGGGAAAAGAAAAAAATGGAAGTGAATGGGGCTGTTAGCAAGAGGGAGGGGTAAGATACCAAAGAGGGCCATCAGCCCAAGCCCCCAGACTCCAGGCCTGAGCCAGACCAAACCATGGCCCAGCCTCAGCTTCCCTGCCCTGCTGGCTTCCCAACCCACTCCAGCTCCCACAGTGGCAGGCAGGGGGCACCCCTGTGGGGAAGTGGGGGCCCCAGACGAACTGCTCTCGTCTGTGGCCTGAAGCATTTTTGAGTCGAGGCCTCGCATCTGGGGTACAGCTGTGATCTCAGGGTGCCTGCGGAGGTAAACAGCAGGAAGGCACCGAGCAAGGCAGGGGTGGGGTGTGGAGTCAGGGGCCGCAGCTCCAGGAAGGGACTCCAGCTGAGGCTCTCTAGGATGATGGGGATCTTGACAGGTGCAGGAGGGGCAGCAGGGAGGCATCCCCCACTGTGGGAAGAGCAGGTGCATAGGTCTGGAGGCGGGGAGGCTGCTGCCGGATGCCACAGTGGGAGCGGAGGGGCTCAGTTTACTCCAAGATCTGACTTCTAGGGGCTTTGTCCGGAGAAAGGGTGTGAGCTGCAGAGCGATGGGACCTGGGAATGACCCAGGCTGCTCTGGGGATCTTACAGGCAGGAGGCTAGGCACAGGCTGAAGAGGAGGAGGCTGGGGGCTGATGTGAGTGGTTGCCATGGAGATGAGAGGACCCAGAGGATGGTGAGGAGTAATGGGAGGGCTGATATGGAGGAGGCAGACTAGGAGCCTTGCACTGGTGGCTGTGGCCTATCCCCAGAGGAGGCAGGTGCAGGGAAGGTGTGGGTTTGGCCCCCAGGGTCTGATAAAAGCTGAAATGGCTGGGGGCTGGGGGCTGAGTGTGGCCTTGAGTTGGGAGGCCCAGGGTGTGTATGGAAGCGTGGGTAGATGTGTGAGGCCATATGGGCACACACTTGTGCCTAGATAGCAGCCATGGAAGTCACGCTCCCAGAAATTCACTCCAGACCCACTGTGCTCTGTGGGCATTCCCAGGGTGGCTGGGGTGTGGACGGCAGATCTTAAGTGAAGGCGTGGTGTACAGTGTGCAGAAGAGCTGGCCTTGGCAGTCAGATCTGGGCTACTTTCCATGGGGACTCTGAGTAAGACACTATCTCTATGCCTTGGTTTCCCTGTCTATAGAATGGGAATGTTAATACGTGTCTCCAGGATTCTTGTGCCCTAGCGAGGTAAGGAGCAGGCCAGGTGATGCCTGAGAGGGGGCTACAGTGCCTACAGTTGTCACCCAGTCCTCTGATCAGTGTCCCGCTCACTCTGATTAGATTCTAGGATTGGCGGAGGGAGGCCCTGCTCCTGCTGCTGTCATTTAGATTCTTGGAAAGTTTAGAGTGGAGAGGTAACTCTGCCCGTGCAGCCTAGACAGGGTGGGAGAACAGCTTGCTAGCCCTGGAGGGCTGAGGAGGAGGCCCACGTGTGGGGCTGGCACAGGGCTTGTTCCTCACGGGGAGGGCTGGGCCGGTGTTACTGCCCCACGTCAAGGACAAGGTCCTAGAGACTCAGAGAAAAAGTCCCTGAAGTCACACAGCAGCCAGTGGCACAACTGAGACCAGAGGCCAGGACCCTGGGCTCAGGCCCCCTTCCTGGCAAAGGACCCTTAAAGGATCCATCAGGGACCTGGGGCACAGGGATCCTCATCCCTTGAAGGTTTCTAATTTCAATTCCCCTTTCTGTGCCCTTGAGGGAGGTGTAATAATAGGAGCTTATAGGGCATTTACTGCATGCCAAGTCCTACATTCACATGTCTCATTTAGTGCTTGTAGGCCCATTTCACAGAGGGGTAAGTGGAGGCTCAGGGAAGTCAGTAACCTGCCCGCTTACTGAGTGCTGAGCCAGGCTTCACTCCCAGGTCTGGGAGGACACACTGACCCCTGGGCCACTTCCCTCGCAGGGCTCGGCTTGGTGGGGAAAGGACTGGAAACCTAACTGCTGGGCACCTCCAGCGTGCCAGGTGCTTTTAGCGCAAGGTGTATTTGGCAGGGGCGGGGAGCATCGGGAGTAACAGGCATGAGAGGCTCAGGCACTAACCCAGGACAGGAAGGCCTGGGATGGCGTTTTCTGGTGCTAAGAATGCTTAGTCCCCGGGGGCCCTGGGAGCAGGGGGCAGCCTCCTCCAGGGAGTGGGGCCTGTGCTTAGGGTCCTGGCCTTTAGTCACCATAGCGCCACCATCTGCTGTGTGACCTCAAGAGAGGTAATTATAACTGCCCCTCCCCAGGAGAAACCCAGCAGGGTTACTGCTGCGAGCAAGCGCAAGCGATCCCAGGAGGCTGACTGTGGTCTCCACCCCCGCCCAGTGTCCACAGTACTCACCACCCGGAAGTTCTCCCTACGTCTAGCCTCCCGCTCTCCCACTGTGCTGGCGGCCACAGGCTCTGCGTGGGCCCTCCAGGCCACGCTCCCTGACAGGCGACCACGGCTCAGCTCGTGGCAAACATTCTTTTCATAGTTCCCGGAGCACAGCAAATCCGGCCGCTTAGCCAGGAATGCAGAGCCCTGTCCTGCAGCAGCAGGGGCTGGGGCTGGGGCTGGGGGTGGAGCCCCTGGGGGGCTAAACCGGAGGAGCTGACAGGGAGGACCCCCTACCCCAGGAGCCTTGGCTCGGGGAGCTGGGAGGCTGTCCTAGTCGTCCTTGGACTCAGCTTGTGCCCATGCTCTGAATTGGCTCCCCTGGCTGGCGAGGGGAACGTGGGCACAGGACGCCTGTCTGAGGATGGTGGAGGGCTGTGACGATGACCACGCACGTTTATGGTACCTCCTTTATGCCCAGCGCTGCTCTGAGTCCACTTCGCAGATGCTCTCTCCCATTTTATTGATGAAGGAGTTGAGGTCAGCACCCGGGAGGGCACGAGTGGGCTCCAGAGTGCTGCGCTGAGCCCAGCACGACTTTTCAGCAAGGCCAGGCCCAGAGTCTGCCCTTACTGGGGGCTCAGCCCTGGGGGCCCCTTCCCCTAACCAGCCCCACGTCTGGGAGCAGCCAGTTGTTCACCTCATGGCCAGCAGCACCCAGTGTGGAAGGCTGGGCAGGGAAGAGGGCCTGGGGACCTGGCTGGCTTCTGCCACAGCCCTGCGGCTCTCACAGGCTAGGGGGGGGGCAGGGCTGCAGACTGTTCCACCCACATCTGGCTTGGGATTTAGCCTGCAAGTGGCAGGCTCTGTGCAAAGGGGCGATGTCGCCAGGATAGGGGCTCATGGAGGGGATTAGGGAAGGCAGTGTGTGTGGGGGGTGGGGGGTGAGAACAGAGTCCCATTGAAGTCTGCCCGGGCACCACCCACACACACCCACTCACCTCCCGCAGCTTTCTAAAAATTTTGCGGGACTAGCAGCCCTGATCCACTAGAGGGGGCTCCTGGGGCCCCTGGTAGGAGCTGCTGGCTCTGCGCTCAGCTTTGCCTGTCCCCTGGGTAGGACCCTTGGGGACGGAACCCAGGCCTCCAGGAAGCCCAAGTGGACAAGGCTTTAAGCCGCCTGGGGCTGGGCAGAGCTGGGTGCAGATCCCGCCTCTTTCGCTTCCCAGCCCTGTCACCTGGGAGAATGGAGGTCACCTCCCCTGGGCCTCAGCACTCCTCCGCAGTACAACGGGACAGCAGTTCCAGCCTGACCTGGGTCGTGCCTAGTGCCATGTCTGCTTCAGACCATGTACTGGGATTCAGAGACCATTACTGTTAAGGGCCAGCATGGGTGGAGGGGATGGGAGCCCGCATTAGGCCGGGACCCTTCTATTCAAGATGGATTCCCAGACAGATGCCAGCCAGACTTTCTCAAATCATCCGTGCAGCAGATGAGTTAAGATCCTGGGCTTTGGGGTCAACAGCCGAAGTTCAGATTCAAGCTCTGCCTATCCTGAGCGGTGCAACCTTGGGCTGGTTACTCAGCCTCTCTGTTGAGTTTTCCCCAAAGGGACACTAAGTATCCATGTCTCTGGGCTGTGGTGAGGATCGCGTGAGACCATCTGTGACAGTACCCAGAACAGTGCCTGGGACACTGCAGATGCCCACCGAGTGGTCCCCACATTGACAGCATTCATTTGTCACTTTTAGTTCTCGCCCTTCCCTGCTTGTGTTAGGGGCCTTCTCACATCCGTACCCTCACACACGCTGTTCCCTCCACTTGGACTGATTGACCCCCGCACGCCCGTCACCGAAGCTCCTGTCCTTCCTTAAGCTCAGATCCAACCATTAGTTCTTTCCCCTTCCCAGCCTTCTGGTGGGGGGAGGGGCTGGGGCCAGAAAAGCTGGGGTTCCGCTGAGCAGCGAGGGAGGACCCCCACCCTCGCCAAGGTCCCTTCAGTCAGGCTGGGCCCTCAGGAAGTGGCCTCACGACGCACCTGGGGGTCACAGTGTTCCAAGTGCAGGGCTGGAGAGAAAGCCCTGCAACCTTGGCTTCGCATCTGGCTGCTCGCGCTGCAGGCAGGGCCAGGATGTCAGAGTCTCCATGGGAGCAAGCAGCTGGGGGAGAGAGTGACGCGGCTGCGGGCCTCCGTGCCAGGTGGGCTGGCTGGGTGTCCCCTCCCCATCCACCGGGAGTCCCGTCTGGGTCTGGACTCCGGCCCTGGCTCCTCTGTGGCCGGCTGCGTGACCTGGCCTAGGGCTCCCGATGGAGCCTGGCAGCAGGCTGGGCTGAGACAGAAACGGGGACCTGACCGTCCGGAGCTCTGACATCACCTCGCTCACTCAACAACTTTCCCCGGCTCCCGGTTGCTTTCCAGAAAAACGCGTGCTGCCTTGCGCCGTCTTCGCTTCCTGCTTGCACTCCCCGACCCCGTGGCACTCGCGGGCCTTCCCTGTGTCTTCCCGGCGTCTGAAATTCCTTTTCTTACCTTGTCTGCCTTCCAGACTGCTACTCAGCTTTCAGGACCCTGCACAAAGGACCCTCCCAGCAGGGAGCTCCCTCCGGCCAGGGCAGGACAGTAGACACTTCTGTGGCCCGCAGCCCACCCCCGCATCTCCCATCCAGTAGCAGCTTCCCCAGCAGGGATCCTAGGGCCTTACATATGGTAGGGGGACCTCGCCAGGGTACCCTGGCACCCACAAGGGGCTCCCTGCGCCTGGGCCCTAGCACAGGAGGGGCTCCATGGACCCAGGACAGGCACCCAGTGGACCCAGCTGTGTCCGCTGAAGGGCTGGGGTCGTGAGGGTGGGCGCTTCCTGGGAGGAGGGGGACAGAGGTGGGGGCCGAGGTCCTGGCAGGAGGCCTACGGCTGGCACTGGGGTGGCTGTGGTGGGGAGGAGGCTTCCCAGGCTCGGGGTGTCTTCTCACTGCTCCTCTTGTTCATTCTCAGGCCCTCCTCGGCTGACACCTCCCCAGACCCCTCAACTGGACAG